CCATCCCCATCCCATCCTCCTGAGATGAGCACTCAGGACAGGCCTGTGCCTGGTCAATGTCACGATATGGAGGGCGTGGGGTCCAGGAGGACAGGCCCTTGTCTGAGAAAGCTGCCCTGAAGCCCCCCACCACCCTCCTGCCCAGCCACTGGGCTCAGCCACTGCGGAGGTGATGGAAGGAGAGCAGGGCCCAGCCCTGGGTAAGGGGATGGTTCACAGGCTGGAGGGAGGGCCTCAGCCCCCCGTATCCGGGAGCAGGCCCTTGGCCCTCAGCGTTCGCGGATAAAGAGCATCACTCTGGTCACACACCCAGACTGTGGCTGTGGGGGATCACTGAGTCCTGCCGGCCTTCAAGTCCTGGCATATCTGGCTAGTGGGGGTTTGGTGGCTGCACCCTCTGTGGTCCCTGTGGCTCAACAGAAGATAAGCCCCTGGGGTTGGCACGGACTGGGGAGTCTTGAATCCCCCCAGGGGCTTCCCCAGAGCCTTGTAGGAGTGGGCAGTGCTGAGCTCAGACTCGAGCCCACGGGGCACGGGTTGGTCAAGTTTACTTGGGAACTGGCGGCCTCTGCCTCCAGGGCAGCCTCTTGTCACCTCCCTGCACTGTGTCCATGGGAGAACTTGGGAAACCTTGGTGGGTGGGTAGAAGCCTCTTGATTTCAGGAGGGAGGTTCTGTTGAGAGGAAGTTTGGAGGGTCAGGGCAGACGGGACTGGGCAGTGCTGAAGGATGGAGTTTGTGCAGGAGAGAGGCTGGCAGGCCTTGGGGCAGGTACAGCTCTGGGTGCCATGGTGGAGGTGACTATGGAGAGGAGGAACCTTATAAGACAGTTGGGTGGGGGTAGTGTAAGAAGAAGGGTGCCAGGTGCGGTGGCTCATGCCTATAATCCCACCGCTTTGGGAGGCCAAGTTGGGAGGATGGCTTGAGGTCAGGAGTTTAAGACCAGCCTGGACCTCATAACAAGACCCCATCTCTACAAAAAAAATAATTAGCCAAGTGTGGTGGCATGCTCTGTAGTATCAGCTACTTGGGAGGCTGAGGTGGGAGGATCACTTGAGCCCAGGCACTGGAGGCTGTAATGAGCTATGATTGCACCACTGCACTCCAGCCTGCACAGTAGAGTGAGACTCAGTCTTTTTTTTGGGGTCGGGGGAGGAGAGGTGGGGACCAAGTCTCACTCTGTTGCCCAGGCTGGAGTGCAGTGGCATGATCTCGGCCCACTGCAACCTCCACCTCCCGGGTTCAAGCGATTCTCGTGCCTCAGCCTCC